TTCTTGAAATCTTGGAGATCTTTATTGGACTTAAGGTTTTTTTTTTTTTTTTTTTTTTTTTTTAATGTCAGAGGCACAGATAGTGTTAATTTTCCCTGATTAACTTCTGAAAATCATAATGCATGATGTTTGGTATCAGTATTTACTCTCTGTATTAAGAACTTCAAAGACATAGTTTTATTTATTTGCTCAGTGAATATTTAATGAATGCCTATGATGTGCTAAACATTTGGCATAAAATCCTCTCCTGGAAGAGTGCATTGTTGTGGTACAGACAGGCCAGTAAGTCAGTGATTACACCTAAGTATGAAAAGTGCTGTTATAAAAACAGGCACAGGATGCCCTTGAGAACGTAGAGGAAGAGCATGCCGTTGTAATGCTGAAAACATTTTTCAGTAGTACACCCTCTTTCCTTAGTTATATAGTGGTGTCAAGGTTAGATTTGGAAAAATGTAACAAAACTAATAAAGGTTTATGAATAAAGGTATCTTCTATCTTCCACCTCCTTGCTGAAAATCAAGCAAAGAACCAGATAAATATTATCATGGCCATGTTGTGAATCCCTTAAAAATAAACAGAACTTTTTATTATGGAAAATTTCAAACATGTACAAAAATAGAACAGATAGGTACTCACATCCACATTCAACAGTTGTCAATTCATGGCAGATCTCATTTCATATGTATTTACATCCACTCCCCTTAACCACCACCGCCCCCTCTTCTTCACAGGAATATTTTGAAGCTAATTATGAAAATTACATCATTTCACCCACAAATAAGTAGAGCACCTTTATTCTCTTTGACTTTAGAAGTTCACTTCCTCTTTGAGACTGTTATGCTTCTGAAGCACATTTGGCTCACATTAAGAAGAGGGGAAAAAGAAAGCATTCCCATTTAGATCTCACTGATCTTCTAGTATATCCGTATATATTTTGAAAATGCTTCTGTTCCCTGGTGAAACTCAAAATAAGCTTGGAGTTATGTTGCTAACTTGTGGAATGAAAATACATTTCCACAATACGCAGATTAGAGAATGAATGATAGTAGAATTCTTAATCTTATTTGTAATTTGAAATAGATTTTTGTCTGTGTTTAAAAATCAAAATTGTGAAGTTTTTTCCTAATAATCATATTTTTTTCTGAACTTTTTAATTTTAGCTTCTTAAGCTTTCCTCTATTTTTAAAAATATTTTACAGCTAACTATATTACTGAATTACTACATTATTATTAAGGAAAAAGGAAACTTTTGTTTAATTCACTAAGTTTTCTTACCTGATTTTAGATTGAGATTTAGCTTCTGATTAGTCCTTACATTTAGGCATGAGGTTTACTTTGTGAAAGTAAAAACTGATATGCAAAGTCTAGTTTAATTATTGAACCGTTTAGACTACTAAAAATTTTAACTTTAAATTTCACTGTTTGTCCCTCTAAAAGATTAAAAGGAATTTTAGAACGTGGAAAAGAAGAGTTGGCTGAAACTGAGATTATAAAAGATTCACCTGATTCCCCAGAACCTCCAAACAAAAAGCCCCTTGTTGAAATAGATGAAACTCCACCAGTGGAAAAATCAAAAGGTAAGGTAGAACTGTGGTAACTATGTTTGTAAAGAGTTTTCCAGTTTAGCTCTGTTTTGTACAGTGTTGGTTATTATTGTTGTGTATATGAGGAAGAGATCCTAACTGCTGTTTATACTAACTGTGCTGTTATGATGCTATTTATGAGAGTCTCTGTTTACAACCTTGGAAACTATAGGCAGCAAATATATTTGTCAGCCTTAAAAGAAAAGTAGTGTTATAACTGATTAATTAAGCCTTTGGAAAATAAGCACATTTACAGTAAAGTGAGATTAAAAAATGTAATTATGTGAACTTGAATCTGTTCATTTTCCTGACACTATGCTAAATGCTGGGTAGTTGAAGACAAAATCTTTTCCTTAAACCCTTATTGAGCCTAGGGAAGGATCAAATATCACACATTTATTGATAAAATGTAGTGTGAATAGATTTCAGTGAAGATAGTATTATACACAGTATTTTCACTGTAAAGCCTTTTATCTCTTATGACAGACTGAAAGGTTTAATTTCCTCTTGAAGGAATTCTAGGCATCAGAGGTAAAATTTTGCATTTGAAATGATTCTAGGCCTTACTTATCTTGAAGGTAAAGTAGATCTTGTCCTTTTAGGAAAAATGGGAAGTGACATGCCAAAGGACCTGATGTCTTGCCTCTAAGGGAGATACCTTGCTTCTAAATCCATAAGACCTCAGGGCTGGTCAGATTACAATTGCTATGGTTCATCCTAAGGAGAAAGTAGATTTACTTGCTTTTTATATAATTCTGTTGTACATAGGAGTCCCTGGGTGGTGCATATGGTTAAGTGCTTGGCTACTAACTGAAGGGCTCTCGATTCGAATCCACCCAGAGGCACCTCGGAAGAAAGGCCCGGTGATCTACTTCCAAAAAACCAGCCCTTGCAAGTGCTGTGGAGCACAGTTCTGCTCTGACATGCATGGGTCACCATCAGTCAGAATTGACTCAACAGCAACTGGTTTGGTTTTTGGTTTGGGGGGACTAAAAGAAGATCCTGTGTTTCCAAGAAGAGAAAATAGGTCACATACAAAAGGATTAGGAATCAAATTCTTCAGACTTCTCAGAAGTACTGTTAGAAGCTACAGGGCAATGAAAAATGTCATAAGAATGTGGAGAAGTATTATTTTTTAATCACAGAATTCCATAAGCAGACAAATGATCAGTCTAGGGCTGAGGTAGATTAAAGGCATTTCTGGATATGTCAGGTCTTACACATCTTCATTTCAGTATCCTGTCTCAGGAAGGTACTAGCATTTTTGTCACATTAAATTTGTATATTTTAAAGTAATAAATTAATCTACTCCTCTTTACTAAAGAGTTAGAGATTTTCTTCCGAGAGTAGAATAAAGGGAAGATGATATTACCTAAATTTTATAAAATGAACAACATATGCTGAATTTGTTAAATTTTAAAGTAATAAATTATTCTTTTTTTTGTCCCCCTCTTCTTTCAAATAAAACACCAGGGCCAGTGTCCTTGTTATCCTTGTGGAGTAATAGAATTAATACTGCCAATTCCAGAAAACATCAGGAGTTTGCTGGGCGTTTGAACTCTGTTAATAACAGAGCTGAATTATATCAACATCTTAAAGAGGAAAATGGGTTTGTATTATTTATTGTAGAAATTGGTTTTTGTTAATTGTACCATAATAAACACGGCTTGTTTGTTGTGTTCGGCAATTTTTTATTAATAATATTGTAATAGACTATATTAATGTGAAAATTATACATAAGAGCTCTTTTCATTATTTTAACTACTTTTTACCTCATTTTGTTGAGCTAAACTGATACATGTTATTTTTAAAGAGAAAAAAATTAATTTCTTTGATTCTTGGTTCTTGTGGAAGGCCTGATCATATTGATTATAACCCTGAAAGTATTTACTCCTTATATCGTTTTTTTTCAATACTCAGTAAACATCATAGGGGGAAAAATCAGAAAACACTTACAATGCAACACTAAATATGTATAAAATAACAGGCGGAAATACTTTCTTATCAAATATACAGTATTAGGAATATTCATTTTAACTGAATAAATCTCTAGTCTGATTATCTTAATCTATTTTTTTTTTAGAAGAAACCCTCTTAAAATTTTATTGGTAAAAGGATTTCTAAATAGCGGATTTTTTTCTTAGTTTTGTTTGGAGAGCGGAAATGGTATAGTGAGAAAAATAGTGGTTTTTGAAATGTAACATTGGGAAGATAAGCCTCTCTAGGCCTTGATTTTCATGTATCTGCAGAATGAGGAAGTTGGACTAAATAGAATAACCAGAGTAACCCTAACTTTAGTCCTTTTCTAGTGCTGAAGTTCTTCTGTTCTATGAATATGTTAGATTTTAATTTTCATGTGAAACATAATTAAAGAGAAAAAAAGTATGGGTAGTTAGTGAAAGTTTTATTTTACCAACTCTTCCCCCCCTCCCCTTTCTATATTTCAGGATGGAGACAACAGAAAATGGAAAAGCCAGCCGGCAGTGAAAAAGTGACTTGAGGAACTAAATTAGCATATTGCATAAATATTTTGCGCAGAATTTTATACAAGTACTTTTACAGCAAGATTGTATAGTTATGTTGCCTGGACTGGTTTTTACATTTTTAAAAATTTCAACTAACTTTATCTTTTTTGTACTAATTGTAAAATTGGCCCATATGTCAAAAATATACATTTTAGATTTGTCCTCCCAAATCAGACAAATTTATTTAGGTAAAAGGTGTTCCCTCTGAAAGTGTTTTTTAAAAAACATTCTTAGGCTTCTCTTTGCCAAATAAAACTGTTAAGATATCTGAAATGCAAAATATTGGAGTATTACTTTATGAAGAAAAAAGATATTTATTTAATGACTGACAATAGCATTTAGAAATTTTTTCAAATTTTATCAGAATTTAGGTGAGATTTGCAATATTTGATATAAAATCTTACCTATTAATCTGTATCATAGACAGTTTTTCCAAAAAATAATGGTTTTATTTATTTTGTATTTTAAGTTATCTTGCATGTTTTCTCCATGTAAAAGCAGAGTTTTCAGGTAGTCGCTGTAAGTTTATATTTACCAGTATTGCATAATGTTACAGTTTCTTTTCTGCTAAACATTTACCATCCATTGACTTTTCATACAGAAAGGGAAACATAAAGGGGATGACTTCACAAACTTAGAAGGAAAGAACACTCCTAGGTTGTTTTTATCACTGAATAGAATCTTGGTCTCCTTGTCTCAGAAATGCCATGGTTATGTGGTATATGCGTGGTGAGACTTCTTCCCCTGCTTCTTTATCTGGAAGCTCGCAACATGTTGCAAGAAACATGTTATTTCAGTGGTAAATCTTGTCAGTTTTTTTTTTTTTTTAAAGAGTTTGTTAGAGGAGAGGAAAAGCTCTTCACTTAAATATAGAGATTCAATTTGGGGATTTTATATTTTCTATTTGAAAAATAAACAAGCTGGTGTTTAAACAAGGGTTCAGCAGGCTCCTTTGCCAACCCAGTGAAATTTACATTGCTGTTGCTCTCCTTTTATCAACCCCTGACCCATTCTCAGCCCTTGCATCTGTCCTCTCCCCTAAGGAATGGCCATTTTTTATTCTTTACCACGAAGTTTAGGTGGATGTTTACACACATCACACACAGACATGACCAGGCTTAACCAGGACCTTAGACTTAAGATTTAAGGAGCTGTAACCCGATATTTAATTATTAGATCATATTTACTACTAGTTGGTCACTCATATTTTGTATCTTATTTTTGAGCCCAATTTTCAACTTGTGCCTAAATGGGGTCTCTAATTTATTCCTTGGTCCAAAATTCTTTCCTTCACAATCCATCTTTAAAGACTGGTATCCGGTTTTACTCTCCTCAGTTTATGCTTTTCCCTTTCTCAGGGTCTAAGGCCATCTACTTGTTGACAGTCTTACCTGCTTTTCAGTCTCCATTTTTAGATACTAACTGTTCATGGACTCCTGTTACTATGGCCTACCAGCTGGGGGAATATTTCTGTGGCTGCAGTTTGAACCACCATGTGCTAGTAGCTTGTCTTTATTATTCCGTTTTGTTTGTTGCTCCAGCTGACTCATTTTGTCTGCTTAACTAGACATCCTTTGAGCACTTGTACAGTTGAGTCTCCTCCTTTCTTCCTGCAGGAGATAGACTATGCTTGACCTTATCATGAGATATATATCACAACCTCTTGGTGAACCAACAGTTTTAGGACACAAATAGAAGAATGACTGTTGTTGGCTCCATTAAAACAAGGTCCATATTGAGATTAGATAAAAATTTTTTTATTATGTCAAGAAAAGTAGATAAAATTTCAGTTGAAAAAATTTTTATTCTCCATCAGTATGAATAATAGCTGTTGTAAGGCTAATTCCAAAATGTGAAGGTAACTCATATTCCCGCTTTCCTACTTTATCCTTCTGACACCAGCCATCCACATGGCACTTTTTGTCTCTGATTCTAACCACCTAGAGTTGAGTCTCTCTCCACAAGTTAGGACTCTGTCCTTCTAGCCCCTGCCAAATAGACAAACGCCAGCCTCTCTACTGGTTCTCACTGCCCCCAGTGTGTTCAGTAATTCTCTAGAAGACTCACAGAACTCACAAAAACTATAACCTATACTTGCTGTTACCTATTTATTATAACCAGAAAGAGACACATCAGGCAAGGTCTGGGAGAGTTCTGGACACCACGAGGCTTCCATTGTTCCATGCCGCACCCTCTGTGGTACATAGATGTTCTCTCCAATCCATGAGCCCTCAGAAGAGAGGGCTCCAAGGTTCCAGGTCTCCTAGTCATTGGCAGCTCAATGAATATGCATGACTTGGGCCTTAATGCATAGTTACGATACAATTAACAAATACACATGATTCATTAGGCGCCCTTCCCTTCCTGAAGCTAGTTCTCCAGGTATGGGACCTGGGAAGCCCCTACTTGCCTGGTATCTTGGAAAACAAAGAACATCTTAATTGCTCAGGCTGTTTTCAGAAACCAGAATCAAAGGGCCAAACTAAGTTCTTTGTCCACGCTGAAATCTAAGCTTAAGTTCAGACAATGATTGCAGGAATGAAACTTACCAAAATAGAACACATGTACTTTCATTATAATCTACTGATCAAAAGCAGTTTTTTTGTAATCATAGTATAAGGGAAAATTTTCACAATCATGTTACAGTACATGGTATGTTTGATAAGCTGTTACACACAGTTATAAAAATGCTGTAATATTTTACTCAGAAAGTTGTAGTATATTTGAATATTGTTCAGAACCACCACATGGATACATGCAACCATCATTACAACTTTTAATGTGTAGAGTTATTAATATATAGAGGTCTCAAATGGTTTGCGCTTGACTACAAACCTAAAGGTCGGTGGTTTGAACTCACCCAGTGGCTGCAGAAAAAAGGCCTGGCAATCTGTTTCCATAAAGATTACAGTCAAGAAAGCAGTTCTACTCTATAATACATGGAGTCACCATGCGTCGGAATCAACTCTACATCAACAGGTTTGGTTTTTTTGTTTATTAATATACAGATTTATTAACATCGATGTTTCATGTAAGTATTGAAAACTAGCATGTAGAGTTCATCGCTAGGTTTTAGAGCAGGGCCATCTATTGTTTAAATTCTTGAATACTGTACTTGTATTCCTGCTCAAGATTGTTTTATGAGGCACTGAGTTATTTACATTATTATTTCTGGCAGATTTCAATTAAAGTCACCAGTATAATTGCACAGATCTAGAGAGCAAAAGTGTCCAGATGCTAATTTTGTCATGGAGGTGCTGCTAATGTAAGCAAATCTAGAAATTTCCATGTTCTTTTAAAAGTTTGAAGCATCAGACTTAATTTAGAAAACTACAGGTCTGGATTTATACTTACCAAGATTGTTCCATAATTAAAATGAACATGTAAGATTGAACTATATGAAATTGCCATTTTTGTATGCAAAAAAAGAAATATTGGCAGTTTCCTGTGGGTCAGCCTAAACATTTGTCTTTATACCCTGAATATGCAGTAGAAACTGTAAATTTACCAGCTTGTATATATTGAAACAAGTTCCTCCTAGTGAAAGATGGAGACTTAATTTAGTGTCTGATTAGAAGTTTTCATATTTGTAACATTTTAAATTAATTCTGTGGTCATTTTGAATCAATTAATCATGTAAAGATACAAAGAAGAAAAGGTGACATTGAGTTAAAGGGCCTGTAGAATTTTTCTTAGTAAGCAGTGGGATAATAAACAACTGTTTAGAACATTAAAAGAAGAGAAAATATCATCCTATTTTAAAATAGATGTCACATTAAATTTATGTACTTATTAATTTCAAGGACAGTCCTTAGGGATTATGTTTAAAGGGATAGAAGAGAAGGAAAAACCAAGGTCAAGGGTAGGAATTAAGAAGTGCTACTGGAGTTGCAGAGCCCTGGTGGGACAGTGGTTAAGTGCTTGGCTGCTAACTGAAAGGTCAGCGATTTAAACCTGCCAGCTGCTCTGCAGGAGAAAGTTGTGGCAGTCAGCTTCCATAAAGATTACAACCTTGGAAACCCTATGGGGCAGTTCTGCTCTGCCCTATGGGGTCAGTATGAGTTGGAATTGACTCGACAGCAATGGGTTTAGGGTTTGGTATGGGAGTTGTAGAGAAGTTCCAAAGGCTGAGGACTTAGATAAGGTCTTTGGATATGCCAAGTAAGAAGCTGCTGATTACTTACAAAAAGCCACTTCATGGAATGATGCAAGTAAAAACTAACTCAAAGCATGTAAGTAAGTACTCAGATGTGACGAGGGATGTTAAAGCATATGAGTGTGGTCAGTGTGGTCAGCTCTTCCAGAAATAGGATAGCAAAAAAAAGTTGGCCTTGCCTGTTAACAGTAGCTTAATAGAGAGCAGAATTGAGGGAGGTTTGTTTTTTTTTTCATAGTCTGTTTTGGATGAGTGTGATGGGCTTGTTTGTAAACTAAAGGTAAAAATATGATGGAAAGGTAAAGACTTACCTATTGCAATGTTAATTATTTATTGTTAAATTATTCATTTCTTTATGCTGAAGATTATAATGAGTAACTTGAACTGGCATGTTACAGCATTTTTCACATTTGGAGATGGTGTTGTCAGTAGTGGAATTACCATAATGGATGAGTCATTACATGATTGGTCTTGGTAGTGCTGGTCTGGGTGTCATAAATTCATACGTGACCATCCAGGCATCCAAGGGGAAATAAGTGATTAGAATTAATTGATGGTATGTTAATACAGTTAAAACAGAGAAATGAATCATTTATTGCTTATCTTTTGACTATTAGACTAAGTGATTGTTTAATTTACCTAATTTCTAGATCAGTTCTGTTTTTCATATAGTTGTTGATGCATTGGGGTTTTTGATAATATTACTTTTCCTCTGGCTAATAAGATCCATTTCATAATGGAATAGGAGTTGGTGTTTTGGAATTTGGAAGAACGGCTGTTCTTGTTTCTGTGGCAGGGGTCACATTTTCTCTGTAAGGTTTATGTTGAGAAAACGGTAATACTCCTCTCCATAACTGAAGTCAAGGTGGAACATTATACTGTAGGATGGGTGGCTTTCGGGGCTTTAGCACATCCATTTCTTGGCCAGTATTACTTATTAAGGTTTTCCATTCAAACACCAGCGACTGAGGAACAAGAAAAGTCTTACAGAAATGGTAAACTACAATTGCTGTTGTTCCCACAATCAGTATACATATGCTTACCAACAAAGCCAGAAGAACATTTCTAATCCAAGGGCTGTTGTCTACACTGGGAGAGGCTAGAATGCCGTTTTCAATTAACGACTCATTGGCTCCATAGTAAGAGATTCCACTGTATGTGATGTTCTCAATGGTGCCAATTTTGTATTCCGGTAACACTACATATGCAAAGTTTGGATGGACATTTCCATCAGGCCTGCTTAGTTTAAACATTACTTCTGAATTTTTCTACTAGGGCACCATTTCAGGGAACTGCCGTTAACATAATGCTCTCTTATACCAGGGTATAATAGTAGAACCTGGTCTCAGGGTAGCTAATAACGATCTGCTCAGTGTTACTGGAGTTTAGGTAGCCAATAAGTTTAGCAAAAAATAAACCAATCCTCTCTCTCTTTTTTGTAAATGAGTAGACGCTGTTTTTTGTGTGCAGAGTGTAAGTATGGCAGGGAGTACTTCTGGGGAGCTTGAGTTCAATGATCAAAAGCATGAGCAACCAGGCCGCCAGAGTCAGTAGCACAAAGAATAAATTCCTGAGGAGAATATTGGAAATCCAGGTCTAGGGGATATCCATATAGTATTTGATGAGTTACATTAAATTGCAGCCAGCTTTCTGGGCCTGAAGGATATTCGTTTACTGATTTTATTTCAAGGGTCAAGTGAGTTGAGTTGCTGTCTTCCTGATCATAAAATGTGTTGGGAGGAATTGGGAAATTAAATCTGTGCCCAATAGTTGCTGTTATTAATTGAATTGGAGCAACAACTGTCGGAAATGTGTTGGATTGACCTAGAAGGAGCAAACAAGAAACAAATTTCAACAGTTATCACTATTTAAATGTTTAAAGTTGTCTCAATGATTGACTTGGTTCCCCTCTTTTCACTTTTTGACGTGGTTTGTATAGAGGAGTGGGAAAGCATCTACCGTCAATAGATCTTTGCAGTAGGCCTTCCTGTGTTTGAGTACCACATAAAATAGCTCCAGAGAAGAGTGAAGGGGGCTGACTGCTTTCATTTCTGTTTTTACCCTTTGGTTGGGGGCACTTCATCTATTCAAGGGTCATTTCAAGTCCCATCTGTCCTCCCTTTTTCTCCCTCCTCCTCCCTCTTCTCTGTTTTTCATCTTCCCTCTCTTCCTCAACTGGTAGATTTTGCATTACAGCCTTGATGCTGCTTCTGCATATTCATGGAGATTGTTAGTTTCCAAATTCTTTCAGCCTTAAATTAGTTTGGAGGAGGATCTTGAAATTAGCTTATTAACAGTACAACCAAGTCTGGGTTACAGGACTTCAGAAAAATGTTTTGGCAATAGGCCAGAATTCCTAAACTTTGTGTGTGTGTGTGTGTGTGTGTGTGTGTGTGTGTGTGTGTGTGTGTGTGAAATTGAAAGTTCAATAGGGAAATTTTTTACAGCTTAGGGCATAGAAGTTGTATAATTGAACAGAGACATAGTAATGAACTAGTGCTCTAATTTCATTTAACACATTTCAATCTCAAACTAGAAAACAGTTCAAGCTCTGCATAGATATGGTTTGTGTTATCTGACGGCTGATTATCACAAAAATGAGAATATGATGCAATGTAACAAAGGGAAGTGGCTTTAGAAATTGTGGGTAGCACTAAGATGGAAAGAAGAGGAGTGCCATGCTACTGAAAAACCCAGTGAACCAGGAAGACAGATGGAACAATCGCTAGATGAACAGAAAGACTATTTTGAAGTGAGATCTGAGCACTGTTGCATATTTCATTGGATTGATTAGCAGCATATGTTCTAACTACTAGGGAGATAAGTTTCTACCAAATTTCAAACAGGCTAAAGTTTCATCAGCCTCACCATTCCTTGGTGATAGAATTGCTTACCTGGGTGTGGCATGTCCTCAGATTTCTGAGATTCAGAATGGAGAGAATCTTTGTTGCTTGAAGCAATTCATAATTAGTAAAAAGCAAACTGGTTGTACCTTGTCTAAATAATGTTTCTGGCAGCTCTGTAGTGAATTCAGGTGAAATGGTGAACATTAATTTAGAAGTAATTTAGAAGTTTAACAATTCAAACATAGGAAATCCCCCCAAATTAAAAATCAATAAAAATTTCCATGAAAGTTACTGTACAGATATGTTTCAATATAGGGATGAAACAAGTTCTAAAGGAATCAATCTGATGGATTATCTAGTTCAGAGATGATGAACATTTTACATTTGATGGAACATTTACCATGTGCCAAACATTGTGCTAAGTGCATTATTCTATTTTATCTTCATAACAAATATATTAAGATAATTATGTGCTCATTTTATAAATGATGAAAGTAAGATAATAAAGTAATTACCCAAGGTCACACAACTAGTAAATGATAGAGCTAGATTTTAAACCCTGGTGTGTCTGACTACAGATACTGAGTTCTTAATTAGCATACTGCCTGTGTTTGCAGTATATCAGGAGATAGATAAGCTAAACGAAAGAAGATGATCTTAGCTTTAGTGGTAGAGATAGAGTTTACAAGCATTTTTGTAACTATGGTGGACCGTAAGATTGCTACAGATAAGTAGTGTCTTTCTGAGATAATTTAGGAATAATAACTAGATAGAGCATGATCTAAATGGTAGCTTAAAACTGCTTCCAGGTTTGTGAATCTTTGATAATTCTAAATATTATATTTAATGTGTATAGGGCATAAGATGGGTACTGCATTTTGTTGTTGACTTTTCTTACATGATGTATCCTTAAAGTTTTTTTCCTCATAAAATTCATTTATGTTCCTTGTAAAAATATTGGAAAACGCAGAAAAATACAGAGAAGAAAACTAAGCACTCATAATTTCACCATAGTTAACACTAGGTATTCTACTTTCATCTTAACATTTAGTTGGTTACTACTTGCTAGTATATAGATTTACTGACAAATAGAACAAAGAGAAATGTAAGCCACCTCTACAGTCTTACCTTGTATATTGTTAAAGTCATAAATAGTCCCATATGATGTCAGTATGTTTGAAGAGGTGTGTGGGTGACTTGCCACCATTTCAGTAGAATCCAGGTTAAACATTGTATTGCCTGGAAAAATTTTGCTAGTTCTTGAGAATCCACTGAAGGCTAAATGTTCTGTGCCTGAGTACCAGTCACTAAGAAAATGTGTTGTGTAGTCTTTGAGCCCATACTTTCAGGTAACCTAAATGGCATTTGCAAATTTGGGTAGCTCAGAAAGGGACAATTCAGATAAATCATGTAACTTAGTATATGATGAGGTCTCCTCAGAATAAGAGTGAGTTTTCAGAATCACATCACACAGTGAACCTTCCTCTAAGAGGCTGCTAGTGAAACAAGCAGTATCCAAGAGCAAAAGAGTTGAGTCCGATGTTTTATCTCATACAAATTTTGCATTTATACTCACGCCACGAGGTGAAATTGTTTCCATAGGAAGGGGGAATGAGTGAATCTGTTGAATATTTTTAGGAGTCTTAGATGTGTGATTATGCTCATAAAGGTGCTGTTGCTTTAGCTGAGTTGCTGGAGGCAGTTGGCTGAACTCAAGGGAGAAATGAGAGGCTGCCAGCATCTCCCTTGTTGATGCTGAAGATGTCAAGAATCTGTTAGATGACTGTACAGATCTTTCCAGGTAGATTGGAACAGAGGCACTCCATTTGCTGAGAAATGTCACTGAAGATAGTCCTTCCGAAGGCATGGCTATATCCTGCATTACTTCTTCAGAGATTGAGGATGAGGACCCAAGAAAATGAGAGAACTTGGGTAAGGCAAAAAGGGCTTGTGAAAACCAAGCTTGACTGACTGATTCTGAGATAAGGTCAGGTAAAACAGAATGTTTATGTATTTCCCAGTTCCCCTTTATCTCCCAATCTGTAGAGTCTAATTTTTCTAGTAACATTGACACTGTAGAAGTTCTACACTGAAAGAAGTCAAAATTTGGTAATGAAGTAGCTGTCAACACCATAGAAGGAATGACTTCAGGAAGAGCAAAAGGATATTCAAGGTTTCTAGTCAAAGATATTTCCTTAAATGGATTCTGTGATACTACTGCTGTATGCAGTGGCCTTGTAATCTTCATGTTCTTTAGAGTATTTGGAATACAGTCAGTTTCAGAGATAGGAGTGATCTGTCTTAAGGCAGCAAATAAACTGGGAATTAGTGATGCTTCATCTTCAGGCACCCAGTGAGTCAAGGTGGGTAACAAAACAGAGGAAGGCTTGCTTAGTTGTTGTTTCAGTTGGCCCAGTTGTCAAGATTGGGATAGCCCTTAACTGCCTGGGTCTTCTTGTTTGAAAATTTTTAAGTTATCTCCAGCCTTCAATCTTATATCCTAAAATTTTGGCAAGATACTCAGAGGAAGCATGATGTTGAAAAACTCGCATCACCTCTGCCAGCATTGTAGAAACCTCACACTTCATATGCCAGTGGAATTGGACAGAGTGACTTTGTAAAGTGATGACATGCCTAGGATCTTCAGCCAACACTGGAAGATTCCACAAGTGCTTGCTTATCTGGCTTCTGAATGGGCTAATAGTCACTAAAGACGAATCCAAGTGGAAACAGTCTGCCAGTGTGTACACTGAAAAGACGTTCTTGAACACCAAGAGTTTCAGCAGCTGCTTTAAGAGTAATTTCAGCTATAATGGTAGAAAACTCTTTTGAGCTTCTTTCAGCTTCAACACTGAGGATTTAAAAGAACAACATAGCATGGGTTATTGCTCAACTAACAATCTCTAATTTTTATATAGTCTTTCAGAGTTTATGTGGTACTCTCACATGCATGATCTCATTGCTACTTCTAATAACTGTGAGGTACGGGAGGACGGTTATTTTTGTCCCTAGTTTATCATTAAAGAAACTAAGGGTCAAAGTAGTTAATTAAAATATCCAAAGACACATACTGCCTGATCCAAGTCTAGGTTTTCTGACTTTAAATTGGAAGGTAGGGGATTTCACTTAGACTAGTTATATGATCTTAAGTTGTTTAATCTAAGCCTCAGTTTCCTCAAATAGAAAATGGAAATAACATTTACCCTGCAGGGGTGTTTCAAATATTAATTGATATAAGGAACTTTGCAAGTATCTGGCATATAATAGGTCTTCCACTCTACTCAGCTTTTCCTGTACCTTCCTTTCCCTTCTGTTTCCATCACTGTGACCTTCCCTATCTTTCCCTTCCCTGTGTTCTTCCCTGACTTTCCCTTCATCCTTCTCATCTCTTTGCTCTTCCCTTTGCTTTGTTAATAAAACTTTATCTCACTTCTTTTGCATCTAGACCAAGTGTGCATCCCCTTTTAGATGGAAGTACGAGTTAGTGACCCCTCCAATTAGTAGGTGTGCTCTTATAGTAGTCCACAGTTGGTTACAGTTCAGAATTAGTAGGGTCATGAGGCTAATTGTTCTAGAAGAGCATGGCCTTGTGAAATGGAAACTCAAGTAATAACTCTCGCAAGTCCAGAAAGGCTCTAAGGGTGGATAACCCTCAGGCATGCTAAAAAAAAGTATGAAAATGATTCTAAGTCTTTTAAGAAAAGAAAAAATAGAGTTTATTTTAGGGTAAAATGAATAGAATCTGTTTTTAATGCATTCTTCCAAGGCTTCCACTTTCCTCCATCTCCAAGACTTTCAAATGAAGTAACTGCACAAGGTTTTTCAAGTTCCAGGCTCTGCTAACCTCTCCAGCCTCATTTCCTGTCACTCCCCAACTCACACTATGGTCCAGCAACATCAGATTTGTGTGTACTTTCCCAAATACACCATGCTGTTGAATGTTTCTGTAACTGTTGAACATGTCCTTCTTTGAGCCTATAGTGCCCTTCCTCCTTTTCTGTCTCGCTACCTTCTTCAGCTTTAAAAATCTAGCACGGATATTACCTCATCCAAAAACCTTTTGCCACCATCCTCCCCACAAGTAGAGTTAGCTACTAAATTAGGATCTATACAATAGTAACACCAGTGAGGAATGTACACCTCAGAACAATCAACTATACGAGACCTAAAGGGCAGCATTTGCCCAAAAGCAAAGTTCAGAAAGAAGGTAAGGGCAAGAAAGCTGGGCGAATGGACAGGGGGAACCCAGGGAGGAGGAGGGGAGAGTGCTGACACGTTCAGGGGTTTGCCACCAATGTCACGAAACAAGCTGTGTATAAAGTGTTGATTGGGCAACTAATCTGTTCTGTATACTTTCACCAAAACCACAATAAAATGTTAAAAAAAATTAGACTCTGTATTTTGTATATGGTTCTGTTACTGCATTCATTACACTATATTACACTTAAAATTGTTTATTTTACATGTCTGCATCTCCTACATTTTAAGACTACTAGACTGTGA